ACGACTGTTGCTGGTTCACCGTCGACCACGCAAATGCTTCGTCACGTGTACCCTAAGAGACCGGTGCAAGCAGAACTTCTAATAAACTTGGGGTAGCACAAGAGCCTGTATCATCCTTGATATGCTGTGTAACATTTTGAGACCGTAGTAAAGACGTCGCCTGATTCCTACCTCCGTCGTCCGAACGACTCGTCATAAAATTTCGGTTCAAATTTAACGTTAGGGTCTACTATACGTCTATAGACCAGACGGAACTGGTCGCTTGTCTTACGGAGGTACCGTCTCCTTTACCTGAAAGTTGTTGCCGTCCGGTCGAACAGTTGTGACGGTTTCTCACACATCTCCACACAGTGCCTCTAACCTCTCATCTCCTACTTGATAGGTAGGTGCTAGGGTGGTCTTCTTCCGTTTAGAATTATGTTGAAACCTCCTAATACGATACAGACTTCTCTGTCAACCTCCCTTGTGTTCTTACCCTTTCCACGTCTCGTTAAAGGTGACTCAAGACCCAACATAGCACCGATATGAACTTGTTACTGCCTTTTTATCGCGGTGAACCGTCTCGACTTGTATGTGTAATTTCTCGATAACAGTGAGTTGGGCCTTTTCCTCTAACGACCATCTCTCTTTTCACGTTTACACGTTATTCCTGACCTTGGTGCCTTATAGACAATTCTCGGTCGACTAAGATAACAACTGTTCTCAACACTAAGACTGGTCAGAGTACCCGTACAAAGAGTAGAGGTATCTACCCTAGAGACATCTAACTCTGAATGAATCTGAGCAAGAGGAGCGAATCTGTTACGTTCAAAAGGTGGCGTAAATTCCAGTGAATGGAAACCTCGAAGGCTGTCGAAATTACACTCTTGAGAAAAAGGTTAACTTTTGTCATGAGTCACCATGGCTTCCCTGGACTGTCTATTTCGTGCTCTACCTATCTCGACCTTTCTGATTGCAACGACTTCCTACTAGTCAGCTCTACCTTTTGACAGCCTGATGGACAAAACCACACAGGTGCGGCTCCAGGAGAACTTATATATCTGTTTGATTGTATAGTTCTAGTTATCGCCAAATCTTCGCTCGACCCGGGACCGACGATTTCCTACTTGACGACTGGGCCAGGCTTCTCGACGCAGACTTACCAACCCTCTCTTCCATCTTCTCTACAGCCCTGTGCACACTGTCCAACGGTCGTAGACCACGACTCAAATGGTACGTGTTAGCATAAACACTCGAACAAAAACAAGCACTATGGTGAAGACTATCGGTTACAAACGCTGTGTATCGATATTCCTATATCGGAGTACCGGTTTGATCGATGGTCTCATTTGAATGTCCGACGACACTGTGTACGAGTAGAGACTTTAATTGTGCGTGTTAGCTGACGTTAGACGCTCATTACGACAAAAGCGACGTATCTAATTTAAGTCTTAATAGTATCGTTATTAAGTTTGTCGTACTAAGTATGCTTAACAAAGTCTATCAATTAGTTTTCATCATATCATACTGTTTCGGATGTCTAATGTTGCATTATTTGTATTTATTATGTTTATCCTATATTTAATGAATCCATATATACTTTTTTACATAGTCGTGACTAAAGTAAACCGGGCTGGTACTGCGCCCAGACGGACCTTATGTAGAAGCGCACGACATGCTACTGGTACCTTCGTTACTTCGCTGTTGTTACAATAAGGTCACAGGACTTGCAGATCAATAGATAACTCGTCTTACAAACTAATAATGTATACTGAATCAAGTTCGACCTCGATGTCCTACCCAAGAAGCCTTAGCTAACACCGTAGCGTTGGCACACTAAGGTTCGGCAGTGTCCACTATACGACGGGAGCCAGTTCAGAGGTCGCTTCAAGGTGTATTTTAGTCAACAGACGGTAGCTTTCGAGGTCGGAGGAGCCAGTAGACTTGACCACTTACGTTTAACCGAAGTCTTCAAAAGGACCCCGCGGGGAAGAATTCCTCTATTGCCGACGAGTTCCAACCCCGTAGCGCAGTCCCGTTTTCCATTTGTACATATGTCTCTAATCAGGACCGTCGGCTACCTACGC